AGGCAAAGTGGCTGGGGGGAAGTGAGCAGAGACATGTATGGAGGGAGAAAAATAATGGCATGTTCTCAGAGCAGATCCAAAACCAGGAGTGTACAGAATTTGCCTTTTAAGTTTCTATTAGATTAGAATGTGTATTTATGTGCTGCAGCAAAGACAGTCACACCACCCTTTGTGTGTTATGACTGGGGCTTTCCCAGTGGCTCAGTGGTAAAGAATCCGCCTGCCAATATAGGAGACTTGCAGGAGACACAGGTTCGATCCCTGGGTCATGAACATCCCCTGAAGAAGGAAATGGCAACCCACTCCAATACTCTTGCCTGGACAATCCCATGGACAGAGGAACCAGGAGGGCTCCAGTCCATGGGGTCACAAAGAGTCAGACATGACTGAGGGACTAAATAACAGCAATAACAGCATTGCTGATTCAGGTAGCATCTGGTTTCTCATGCTGTCGTGTGTTGAAGAATTATAAATACCGCCCCACCCAGAGGCCAGCATCCCTTGTGAATCCCATATGAAAATGTGGAGCATTATGGCATGGCCAGTGGGTGCGAGGCACTTGAGTCTGTCCCACACCTTGGACGTTTCAACCGGATACTTGTCTGAAACCTACACGGCACGTGCAGCATGCCCCGGCCCCTTCTGAAAGACAAAGAAAACGAATCCTGTTCTTGATAGATCACTGCGTCAGGCATAGGGCTGACCAGCAGAGCCCGGGCGGTTTTCTCCCCACTCTCCTGCGATGTCACCTTTACCATCTCCTTTGAGTTTCTTCCCCTCCTGGTGATCTCCCAGCCAAACTAGCTGTGTCACTGTCTCATAGAGCTGACTCTCCCCCTATGGAAAGCATGTTCTTTCCTGGCCACCCAGTTTACTTACAGATTTCATATGCAGTGCAAAGGGAGAGTGTCTGCACGTTCGGGATTTTTTCATTTCGTCTTCTCAGTAGTCTTATGTGGAAGTGGTCACTTGGGAAGAACATCCATTTGCCAAATATCAAACATCAGGAACATCTCTGAGCTAGTTTTAAACCTGCGTCTGCTGAGTTGGTCCTGTGCTTTTTCTCACATAGTTTATTTACTTTCTGCCAGTTTATTATCAGCTACTGAAAAAGCCTGAAGAGCTTTCAGCATTTTGTGAAATCATTACCTCTTTATATATGATAGACATATGCTATGATACATACATGTGCAATCACTGTGAAACATACACACATTTCTCTGTCTGTATGACATGATATCATATATATGAAAGTGTTTGCCGCTCAGCTGCATCCAATTCTTTGCCACCCCATGGACTGTAGCCCACCAGGGTCCTCCATTCATGGAATTTTCCAGGCAAGAATACTGGACTGGGTCGAAATTTCCTTCTCCAGGGGATCTTCCTGACCCACAGATCGAACTTCAGTCTCCTGCATTGCAAGCAGATTCTATATTGTGTATATAATTACCACATTTTTTTGAAGCTTGGTTTGCAGTTAAAATATGCACATGCACATACTCCATCACCCCAGAGTTTTTCATATTGGAATTAAGAAGGTGGGCATAGTAGACTGCTTTATTTCTGATCCCATTTCCTGTTACGTGTGTTGGAGTTACCATAGAAACATGGAGAGATGGACTCACACCAGTCAAACCCTCAGGATACCTGAGGTACTCAGAGTATTTGTAACTTGAGACCAATTCATAAAATTACTTCGATGGAAATGGGGCCAGTTTGTCTGTTAGACCATAGTGACCTGTGTTAGTATGTCAGGACAATGCTCTGTTCTGATCCCAAGTTTCAAAAAACAGAGAAGAATGATCTGAAGGTTGGGGATTGCAAAGTCCTGAGATTAATATTAGGGCCACTGGACACAACATGTTTCTTTAAATTTTGCAGATATGTTTATTAAATTAACTGAAAAGTTGCATAGACCACTATGAATCCTAATTCTACCTTCTAATTCTGACTTGTTTAAGCACCACTGATTCATTCTTACCTGTTTCTGTTTGTCTTGACAACATTGCATTGCTTCATTGAACACAGCATTCGCAACACATTGCAAATTTCCAGATTTTTTGTAGGAGTTAAATATTTGTTGGGCAGATAAGGCACTGTGGAACAGCAGCATCTCTTCTCAAAATTACACTGTAGGAGAAGAACATTTATTCCCAAATTTGCTTCCTACAGACAGTAACCTTCATGACAGGCAGGCTACTCTGTGCTTGGCTTAGTTCTTAACCTGAGTGATCTGTCTTTTTTTTTTTTTTTTGTAATTCAGTCACTGCCCCCTACATTGTGAACTCAAGGCTTTCAACACTAAACAGTAGGTGAATATTCATCTCCAAATTGAATGTGAAAGACTTTTCACCTAGTGATGTGATTCATTGGCTAACATATTTGAGCCTGAAATATGCCCACATGACATACAACTTTGTTCTAAAAAATACTGGGAAAACAGTTATGCAATTGCTAGCTCCATGGAAACTTGCCTTCAAGGCAGATTTGAATCCCCAAATATAGATGATCAACGCCTACCAATTCAAAATGCTTAGATAGGCCTGGTTACCTAGGCAACAGTGTATCAGAAATGAGTTATGTGCATTCTCTCACATTTCTTTGCCAAATTTTACCTTTTACGTAGCCTTAGAGTATGAATTTTAAAGTTGAATGTATAATTTTCTTAAAAATAGGATGATTATGACAATTTTGAAATCCATCAGCTTGAAATAAACCCTTCAAATACAGACTGGTTCCTCCTAGACCTGAAAACCTCTCCAGTTGACTTTACCTTGGATTACAGGTTGTATTGAACAATTAATATCATAAGTTTGCTTTCTCTGTTATGGTTACCAAAGGGAAAGGGGAGAGGGACAATTTAGGAGTTTCAGATTCACACACACACACTACTGTATGTAATATAGTTAAACAACACAGGGAGCTCTTCTCAATATTTTGTAATAACCTATAGGGGAAAAGAATCTGAAAAATTACATATAAATGCATACCCGCATATACATACATACATACATATACATATATATGTGTATATATATATATCTGTGTGTGTGTCTATCTGATTTACTATACTGTTCACCTAAAACTAACACAAAATTATAATTCAACTATACTTCAATGAAAAAAGTAGTTAATACCTAACATAGTACATAGTGTAAGCAGAAACCAAATCATTGAGCTTTTAGAAGTAGATGCATGAAATAGTCAAGTTTCTTCCCCTAAGTAGTTGCTATGACACTAAGTCAAACCATGGGCTTTGGTGCTCACATGGGTCCCACAAGCCCTGGAGTTGGTGGTGTGTCTCTGGGACTGTGATAACGCGCCCTCTCTCAGGGCTCTGGGTTTTGATGCTCACATGGGTCACACAAGCCCTGGAGTTGGTGGTGTGTCTCTGGGCCTGTGATAACGCGCCCTCGCTCAGGGCTCTGAGTTTTGATGCTCACGTGGGTACCGTAGCCCTGGACTTGGTAGTATGTCTCTGGGCCTGTGTTAATGTGCCCTCTCTCAGGGCTCCCATGTCGTGTATTCCATTCCCTTCCTCCCATCTTTCTGATCCAGTGAACCCATGATGCCCTTGCCGAAGAGGTGTAATACTCTCTCCCCTTGTCTTCCCAGTGAAAGTGGGAAGAGCTTTTTAATACCAGCTGTCTCTGTTTGTAATGTGTTGCCATTCAAACTCAACACTGGCTGGGATGAGGTTCGCAGGCCCCTGTGCTTCATGAGAAGGGCCTGGAAAAGAAGATGTTTTGACATGAGTTTGCTTTTGACCACAGGCTAAGCAATCAACTCCTCAATTAAGCTAGATGTTCACTGAGGGAAAGACGTGTGAGTTTCTGTAGGGATCATGGACAGCTCATGGTTGAGTCCATAAGGTCACGGTTGAAAATCATTTAATGTACATCAGATGAATCAGGAGCATGATTGTCGAAGAGCAGTTCTGGGGCAAAACCAGCCCCACTGAGGTTTTCACATCACTTTTGGTGGCAGCCTGGCTCTGCTGTGTGGCCCAGAGGACTGTGATAATGAATTATATCAAATTAAATACATACTGGATGTATATTAAGAGGCATATGCTATAAACAGAAACATTAGCATGTTGTAACCAAGTGAGAATGTTTCTCCAAGTCTGACAATCACAAGGAAACCCTAACCGTGTTAGTAAGAAGCTGAAAAGATGTTACTATGACAACTTCTTAGTATTTCTAATTGAAATCCCTCTTGAGAAATTTCTGCCCTTGCCAAGAACTCACAATCTTTGTTTCAAGTGTGTAACTGATATATGTTTCTCTTCTGGGATCATACAAATCATATAAATGATCGTATTTGTCATTTTCTTCTGTCTTGAAGCTCAGGTCATAGTTGTTTTGAAAGAATGAGAGGTATTCCCTGATCAGTTTGAGTCTTAACTGTATGCACCGTTAATTCTGTTTCTAATTTTCTTAGCCTCTTATACCTTCATTTCTCTTTTTTAATTTATTCACCTGAACATGGAAATCATTCTGCCATCCACATACAGCATAAAGAAGAATCTGATCAGTGATTTTTATATGTGAGCAGGTCATCACTGACCAAGATTCCACACTTGTTCTCAGCCCTATGAAATTAACAGCCAGAAGTGAGATAGAGAATCTTCTTCAGTCTTGAGAAAAAGCAGAACTAAAACTCAGGTCGTGTACATGCTGTCACCCAGCCCCAGGGTCTCCTTTCTCTGCTGCTCTGCCCAGCTGATCCACACACCGGGCCCTCATTTACATGAGAGAGAGCTCGGGCCCAGATTAGCACAGGGCAGGACAAGACAGAAAATAGATCTGTTATTTGGCCAGCTGATGAGCCTGCCAGGATGGCTTCTGAATTCAAATTACAAAATGGTTAAGAACTGGAAGGGTTTGAAGTAGTTATCCAGACTTGACTTCTGTCTGTGGGCAAGACCAGGACTAAACTATTTTCTATGGATTATTGCCTGTGGTGTTCTCACAGATTTCACTTGAAGTGGATCGAGCCTGGCTCACAAATTCATCCTGTTGCTGACAACATGTGCAGGTGGAATGCCGCCTGCCTGGAGGTGAGCTCTTTGGTGGAGGTTGGTGCCCCGGCCACCCACAGGCAAGGAGCGGTTCTGGGTGGATTCAGGGTCTGAAAGCGGTTTTGAACATCTAATGTGTGACTAGACCTATGTTCAGATATATGTTTACTGTTACTTAGATTTCATTTATCACCCCTCAGCTTTCATTCCAAACATTTAAAAATATTTCCTTACAAGCAAATGAAGAAAAATCTAGACATTGAAAACAATGCAGGAGCTACTACTGTACAAAAAGATCAGTTATGATGTAATTTGGTTCCAGGAGATTTGATTCTCAGTGGGGGATTAGAGGGATAGAAATCTAGGTTGAGAAATATTCCTGGACCTAGGAGTAAGGAGCTGTGGCTTCTATCTCTGTCTCTTCCGTGGACACAAATTGACAAGCCTAGTTTCAACCTTAATTTAGTTGCTGTTGTTGCCATTGGATGTAATCAGAGGTCTTATCAAGCACAAAAATCAATTGTGAGGACAGAATAAAGTAGAAGAAACAAAATATATGGACACCTGCTTTGCTTGGTGCTGAGAGAGGCCTTGACAAGGTGTCCACAGACTTGCATGCTTCTGTATAGTTTATAATGTAAGATACACTTGTGTTCTTCCTCTTTAAGAGTATGCCAAGTACAAGGTGAATGTCTACATCACTTTATTCAAATAGTGTATTTAAATGTTGCATTGATTCAATCGTGGACTATTACAACTATTCCAGTCAATATTGGAAGCACAAGATTCCTAATTACATACATATGTACATATATGTATGTTTGTATGTTAAGGTTTCTGCCATAACCTCTACCATTGGTAACTGAATTATTGTAATCCTTTACTGCCATAGTTTGAAATAAAAATCATAAATCTTGAATTAATTATACACCATAATTATACACAAAATGCATATATTAAAGAAAATAATATTAACAGCTCTTCATTGAAACCCATGATTTACTTAAATTGTATAATTAATATTCAGAACAACCCTGTTTCACTGAAATTATGACATTTTACAGTTGAGAAAATGGGAATTTAAAGTTTAGGAAATAAGTGACAGATTATGTTGGAAGCTGTTTAGTGATGGGATCACTTTGGTGATGAGAGGAAGGAATTGCCCTCTTTTGCCTTTTTTAGTGGGTTTACCAAGGAATATGTGGCTTTGTGATTCTGTTGATGAGAAATGAGAGTTGTGTGAGTTCTGCAAGAACCCAGCCGAGTGCACAAGCCATCTTTCTCATGCACGTAGCTTTTATGCCAGACACTTGGACACACCACTTAGAAATGGCCACACTTAAGGGAAGGGCGCCTTTAAGGATAATGCACTCTCAGTCAACTAACGAGTTCAGACTGACACCAGTCTCAAATACTTCCTTCACTTTTCATAAAGATTATGAGGGCAAAGAGTTGCTGTGAGTCCTGTGTACCTCAGAACTGAATGCCTGATTTCAAAATCGTGTACATTATGCACTGCATGTCCATTATCCTTAGAATGCATGTAGAACAGAAAGAAAAGCAGAGACTTTGCTGCTCTGTCAGCGAAAACAATCTAGATTTGCAACAGGAGCTCAGATAGAAAAGCATTTTGGAATTAAATGGTCTATTGATCTGAGAAGAGTCAGCTATAAGGGTGCAACAGTTGTCAGTTGCCATGTTCACTGAGATAAACTCTGCCTTTGATGGCAGAGAAAAATGTCAAGGGGAAAGTAAGTGTTTAGCTGCTGTGATGCTTTAGTTTTATCAGACACTAGAGTTTTCTGTCTTAGGGGTCCAGATAGTTAAGTCACCTCTTTTGAGCAAAAACTGCTCAAGAGAGAGGCATGGACAGACTAGTAATGAAAATGATAAGAAATGTTCTCAATATGCCTGAGTCTTCCGCACGTGGTCACGAGCCCTGACAGCCCTCTGGGTTGGGGGATCAATAAAGGGACAGAGCTATGCTTATGGTTGTAGATTTACTTAGCAGTATGCATAACCTATCATTCTTGCCAGAAAGCATACCAAACTGTGTGATTTTTCAGTTTAAGTGTTGTAGCTTTGCACCATTATTTTTTTATTATGGAATTTAACTATATTTCCATATGTGTTTTTCCCTTAGTTTTGATGTTTTTCCCAGGTTTCTTTTGTGGTAAAATCAGCATACAACATTTGCATCTCATCCACTTTTAAGTGTGTGGTTCAGTGTTGTTAGGGCTTCCCTGGTGGCTCAGCTGGTAGAGAATCCGCCTGCAATGCAGAAAACCTGGGTTCGATCCCTAGGTTGGGAAGATACCCTGGAGAAGGCCATGGCTACCCACTCCAGTATTCTGGCCTGGAGAATTGCATGGACTCTATAGTCCATGAGGTCACAGAGAGTCGGACATGACTGAACGACTTTAATTTCACTTCACTTCAGCGGTGTTAGTTATATCCACAATGTTGTATAGCCATCACCCCATCCATCTCTAGAACTCTTTTCATCTTGTGAAACTGACACCCTGAATCCATTCAGCAGTAAGGCTCCATTTCCCCACAACCCTGGCAGCCACTGTCTGCTTCCCAGGATTCTATTTTGAATACTCTGGGTACCTCACAGAAATGGATTCATACAGTATCTGTCCTTTTGTGGCTGACTTGTAGTGTGTATCAGAATTTTCTAGAACATTAAGACTGCATAATATTCCATTGTATGTGTACATATATCATGTTGTTCTTATCCATTCAGCTGTTGATGGGCCCTTGAGTTGCTTCAACATTCTAGCTATTGTGAGAAATGCTGTTATGAACATGGCTCGACATACCTCTTTGATATCTTACTTTCAACTCATTGGGATATATTCCCAGAAGTGGGATTTTTAATTATGGTAATTGTATTTTTAATTTTTTTTATAACTTTCCATACTGTTTTCCACAGCAGCCATACTGTTTCATATTTTTACCAACAGTGCACAGAGGTTCCAATTTCTCCACATTCTCACCAACCCTTAGTATTTTCTGTTTTTTTAAAGTAGTCATTTTAATAGGTATGAGGTAGTGTTTCATTTTATGTTTGGTTTGTGTTTGATTAGTGATGTTGAGTATCTTTGCACACACTTGCTGACCAGTTGTGTATTTTCTTTGGAGACTTGTCTTTTCAAGTCCTTTGCCTATATTTGAACTGGGTGATTTTTTGCTGTTGAGTTTTCTCTGTACATTATGAGTATTCATCCTTTGCAGATAAAGGCTTTGCAGATAATTTTTCCCATTTTGTCAATTGCCTTTTTATTTTGTTGATACTGTCTTTTGGTACACAAGTTACTAAAATTTTCAAGAAGCCTACTTTGTTAATTTTTTTTCTTGCCTGTATCTTTGATGTAATATCCAAGAAATCATCGGCAACATTCAACATTCAACAGAAATTGTTTGTTGAATGGTTTTGGTACCTTTGTCAAAAATCATTTTCCATGTACTTGAGGGATTATTTCTGAGCTCTCTTGTGTTCCTTTGGTATGTATGCCTGCCTTTGTGCCAGTACCACACGGTTTTGATTACTGTAGTTTTCTCTTAAGTTTTGAAACCAGGAAGCATTAAATCCCCCAGCTCTGATTGTCTTTCCCATATGTGCATTTAATATGGAGTCTGCTATTGGAAATAAGTCTTGACTGTGTGCTAATCACTACCCCCAGTTATAAACTTCTCAGTCTTTTCCAATTCATCCTGTTGTCTTGATCGAAAGGGATTAGCAGGCACACACTGTTACACATAAAACAGACAGCACAGACCTGTATAGCACAGGGAGCTATCCGGCAGTTGATTCAATGTGGTGTAGCAACCCATAATTGAAAAGAATCTGAAAAATAGCATGTATATGTAATTGAATCACTTTTCTATACACCTGAAACTAGCACAGCCTTGTAAATCAATGATACTTCAGTAAAATTTATTAAAGTATTATGTGCAGAACAGTATAATAAAAGCATATATCATCGATCATATAGTGAAAATTTTCCTAGAATCTTGTCCTATCTACACATATACCTCCCCCCAAAAGCGAACATAATATGCCTTCATATGCACACAAGTGAATGTTCTTCCAGGTTTACAAAGTAGCAGAAATAGTGAGGTATTCTGTGTGTTTGTGTATAGAGACACATCCCTCAGAGCAGGATTTAAGATTATCTACAACCATTAGCCAGTGGACTAGATCTTGGAATCTTCAAGTTTCCAGCAGTTGAATTTACAATTCTTTCCAATTGCATGGCATTCTATAAGTGCTTATGTTAAATGTTCTTATTGCATTTAGATTTAATGTCCTTTGATATATACATATGAGGCAACAGCCGTGGCAGAATTGTAGTCGTCAGTGATAAGTATTGGATGCCCGCTACACTCTAAGAACTACACTCCCTAGTTCCCTAGTTTATAGAATTGGGATCCTCTCCTTGAAAGAAAAACTATGACAAGCTTAGACAGCATATTAAAAAACAGAGATGTCACCTTGCTGACAAGGGTCTGTCTAGTCAAAGCTATGGCTTTTCCAGTTATCATGTACACATGTGAGAGTTGGGTTATAAAGAGGACTGGACACCAAAGAATCGATGCTTTTGAACTGTGATGCTTGAAAAAACTCTTGAGAGTCCCTTGGGCAGCAAGGAGATCAAACTAGTCAATCCCAAAGGAAATCAACCCTGAGTATTAATTGAAAGGACTGACGCTGAAGCTCCAATACTTTGGTCACCTGATATAAAGAGCCAACTCACTGGAAAAGAACCTGATGCTGGGAAAGATTGAGGGCAGGAGGAGGGGGTAACAGATATTGAAATGTTAGATGGTATCACTGGCTTAATAGACATGAGTTTGAGAAAACTCTGGGAGATGGTGAAGGACAGGGAAGCCTGGTGTGCTGCAGTCCATGGGGTCACAACGAGTCAGACACGACTTAGCGACTGACCAACAACCAGCACAAGGTATTGCTATTCTAATTTCCTAGATAAGGAAACTCAGGCTCAGAGAATTTAATTAAGTTATTCAAGTGT